TTACCCCTAACTAATTGCTAGTTGATCAGACTAGTTTTCAAGACACAGTCTTAGCGGCTATGTTTATGCAACTTGCCCCAGGACTAGTGCTTAGAGTATTACAAGTTAGTCATCACTTTTTGTTTCTTTACCTAACAGTAATACTGATTATTCATTAGCTACTAGTTATTCATTAACTTAACAACTTATTCAAAACATTTAACTGCTGCCCCATTCATTTTTGTAAATGGTGGCTCATCTTATCCTGTGGCTCATTTTACCCCTGGTCTTACAATGCAATAAAATATACCACCAAACAGTGCATATGTGTAGCAGGCAGAAACAAATTTGATGAAATCTGGTGTTAATTATGATCAATCAATTATAATCAACCATTTTTTTTATCAAAGAAGCTGGTAAAAAATAATTTATGACAAAAACAGTCACTTAAAAGAACACATGTGCCATTGTAACAGGTTGTTTGGTTGCAGTGCACTAGAATGGGAGTGTTGTTGCCTCACAGTGTCAAAATCCTTGCCTGTGTGTGTGTGTGTGTGTGTGTGTGTGTGTGTGTGTGTGTGTGTGTGTGTGTGTGTGTGTGTGTGTGTGTGTGTGTGTGTGTGTGTGTGTGTGTGTGTGTGTGTGTGTGTGTGTGTGTGTGTGTGTGTGTGTGTGTGTGTGTGTGTTAAAAATAGTATTTTTCTGTGAGCGAGAAACCCTGGCCTAATTAAGACTTGTTTATGTAGGGAGCTATTCCAGAAAACTGAGGTTTATTTGTGTGTATGATTGACTGAAGGTGAAACTCAGGTGAGTGGTTTTTCCTCTGAGAATGTAAACCAAACACAAAACCAAAGTTTAGAAAGATGCAGTGTACATGCACAAGCTCCTTCAGTTAAAAGCATACACACACACACACACACACACACACCTGGACTTGGGCCGTCTTCTTCACAGCTGGTTTGGCAGTGTGCATGTGTGTGAGTGTGTGTGCACACATTAGGTTGCCAGGTTTCACTGCAGTATTATCAGTGCCAACAGGTGTGAAGACTGGACAAGGATGTGTGTGCTTGCTTTGTACACTGACACGTGTGTGTGTGTGTGTGTGTGTGTGTGTGTGTGTGTGTGTGTGTGTGTGTGTGTGTGTGTGTGTGTGTGTGTGTGTGTGTGTGGTTCATGTAGGCTAATACCCTGCCTACATTATGGGCTCAAAGATGGTAATATCCGAAATCCTTCACTTTCTGAGGTCCTTATGATGAAAACAGCTTATAAATCATATGTTTTTTAGATTGGTTTAGGGGTATGGTTAGGGTTAGAGTATAGAATATACAGTTTGTATAGTATAAAAATTCATTATGTCTGTGGAAAGTCCCCATAAAACATTAAAAAAAACTGTGTGTGTGTGTGTGCGTGTATGCGTGCACACTCACGTCTATACAGTAAACTTTTTTTTTCTTTCCGGCACATACACACACTACACATTGAGTGTCTGTCTGGTTTTGAGAGGAAGGGAGTAAAACCACACAATGTCTGAAAGGGTAATCACTTAAAACTATTTACAAACACACCATTTCAGACAGGGAATATGAATCACTACAGTGAGTCAGTATAACGTATGACAAATGCATAAGTTTGTGTGTGTGTGAAGGAAGAGAGAGAGAGAGAGATCCCTTCTCATACAGTAGACTCTTTGTGTACTGGAGAAAAACACAGTCAAAGTGAGTGAGGATTTGTGAGAACATATTTATGGATCCAAACATCAGCTCTTTTCAGATTGATTTTTATGATATTTCTTCCCTAAAGTGTATGGACATCAGAAACAGTAAAGAGCAGAAGTATACCAAATTTGTTATAATGATCTCATATCTCAAGCACACATACACCCATCCAACTCTGGTTGCTCTATAATAAGAAAATTACATTTCCGCTAATAACAGATCTGTATTGATTAGAATTTTTTTTTTTTTCTTCAAAGTTCGCACAAATGTAAAGGTCTTCATGTGGTTTTCTGTTTGTATAATCTAGACTCCCTTCTGGCAAAAACTTGTTTAAAGAATTTTGATTCATCAAATTGTTTGGCTGATATTACTCCGATTATATATATCTCCGATTATGACCTGTATTGTCTCTCTTACATGGTGACATTTTAAAGACACAGACCAAATTTAAGGGGTGCTATAACTAACATCCTCAAAACTTTGCAGGTTTAATTAAAAATGTTGAAATTCACCAACATTATATGACATTTGTATTCTGTTGTGCCAGATTTTTCCAATTTCCTTGGACCCCTATAAATGCCATTTCCGGCTATGAAATTTAAATTCATGCAGGCGCGTGTGTGAATGACAGAAAGAGTTCTGGGGCTCTGGGGAGTGTATTCTAACACTCAACACTTATGTGCCATGAAGGCACCTTTGTTTGGCAAAATCCCATTCAAACAATAAATGCTTTACTGTGATTCCTGGCAATTTGCCGAGTTAAAGTCAGAAAACTGCTGAACCATCAAAACCTCAATCAGTTCTCTGGATGTGTTTCATGGTTGTGTACATGTACGTACGTGTATTTGTGCTTTAACCAGTTATGCATCTTTCTTTCCCCAGAATCAACAGATGTCTGCGAATAACTCTTCTTCAGGTTCAAACAAACAGCATGTCTGCAAATTACTGCCAAATTCTCCCCTTGCTTTCAGACAGTCTTACTGGCAGCACTGCTCTCTTTTTTCTTTGTTTCTCTGTCAGATATGTGTGTGTTTTTTTTTTTCTTGCAGAAGATTGGAGTGCCCACCCTTACTCCACCCAGGCCTAAAATACAACTACACACTGCATGGCCAGAGCTTTGAGACATGCTACTTCACTCTCACACACAGCTTATGCAAGATGGATCAGACGAGACTTTTGCATATAGCTTCTGACCATGTACATATTTTCATCAGGGTGCCCAGACAACACAGAATATTACACTATTTACTGTAAGAACACGTTGTGTGACACATGTTTCACATGTATTTCTTTGGTGCACTTTTTTTTTTTACTGGATTTATTGCTATGTTTATAAAAATACAGAACACTTAGATATTGCATATGTTACTACTTAAAATTCAAAGCAATTAAAAGTTAATGAATGAGCAATTAAAAGTCACAATTCTCAAGTTTTATAGTTTGCCTAGGTATGAGTTACATAAATGCGTGTTGTTGTGTGTGAAACACTTTAGAAATTAAAATGTAATTACTTTTAGTCATAAACAAAAATGCATTTTAGCACTTAATTAAGTCAAGTAGTGACTGGTTAAAGGATGTAGCATGAGATGCACTGTAACTGTGCAGCAGTTATTTTCAATCACTAATTATCAATTATCAAATGGCATATGTGGTATAAAGAAATGGCAGGCATCCTCTTCTGAAGTTGCGGTTTCCCCGGGACACTCCCTGTTTCATGAGGTGTGTCCCTGCAGCTGTTATAGGCTAACTGACTTAAAATGAAGTGTCCTCAATGTCTTTCTAGCTACCAGCTCGTGGGTTCCTGACAGAATTACATTACAGAGAAGGAAAGCTGTGTCTCAGCCAAAATCCTGGTCACCCCATTTTTCAAAAGTGTGACACACACTAATCCCACACAGTAACCCAATTAAGCACACAAATGTCCTTCAGAAATCACAGAGGTACATTTCACTCTTTAATTTAGCAGCAGAAATCAATTTGAAATAATTTTGAAATATGTACATTGATTTACACAAATGTTTTACACATTTAATCGCGGTTTGCTCTAAAAAAATTCTAAACGCTAAACTTTGTGCTAAAATGTAGGTCAGATCTGTCAAATGCAGCAGTGGCGCTGAGCGTTGCTCCCTCTACTGGCCCGCGTTGGTAATGACACACAACTGGATTGGCTCCAGGCGCATAAGAGTGCGCGCTCCCTGCTCGTTCACATATTGGCGCACCGGTGCTGCCAGATTTACTTCTGCGCTTTCAGAAGAGCAAGAGACGGATAGAAGACACCGGCACTAATGAGCTGAGGGACTATTGTGAGACTTTAGAGATTTGTGGTATTATTTTCACACTTTTTGCGAGGCAGTCATCGCGTGTGTTGTGGATTTTACTTTTAAGATCATGAACTAAAGTGTTATGCGCTTAACACTTCATTCACGGAATTTTTTTTAACCGGCGGGATTTCTTCAAAGGTAATAAAAACTCTTTAAGGCATATTTCCTTCTTCATATAGTCTAAATCTGTAATGGAGTAGCCTACATTAAGAGTGTCTTTTGTTGGCCTTTTAATTAATTAAATAAAAAATACCCATAACTGGTCAATGTATTACTAACGCGCTGGTTTGGAAACGTACGTTATGCGACAGCGTTTCGAAACCTAGTGACCTGCCCACCTAGGCGACATTTTGGGCATCTTGTTCGCGTTTGAACGTTCTAGTCGAGAATTTTATGCCCAAAAATGCTTTGTAGGTGGGCTGCACACTAGGTTTTTAGACAATCATTATGTATTATAGTTATTGTTTTGTTTTGAATTTCAGCAATGTTTTGTAAAACAGGTATACCGGGGCTAGTTGTCACACTTGTCACACTGGATATATCGCAGTAAACAAGGTTTTGTGTTTGGTTTATGAGTTTGGTTTTTATTAAAGCTCAGGGCAAGTTGTCACATTATGTTGGTATAAATAGATTATACTAATATTCTAAAAAGCCAAAACAACAGTTTGTTTAATAGTTACATTTTTGTTTCATGAATTTTGTTTCATAATTGTTACTGTATACATTTAGCTGAAAAGCCTATAATAGACTGTTTAATCACAAAATCTACTGTGAGATCTTATCCCATATAATGTGACACACACACATATATATATATATATATATATATATATATATATATATATATATATATATATGCACATATGCCAATGTTTTAATGTAACCTCATACACTGAGAAAAAATCACTGGAGTAAAAATTTTGACAACTAGCCCCATTCTCTCATTAATGTATATTGTAATACTTTTGTTTTAGGCATCTATTGGAACACCACGACTCCCTCTGTGGTTCTGATATGGGACTTTAGGTTATATACCTCTTGTGCCATCTTTCCTGGAGTGAATTCGGCTGATTTAAAAAAAAATTGCGCTCTTCCAGAAATGGTGGGGCATTTACATTTACAAGCTATGGATGAGAGTTTGAAAGGAAAGAACCGGGAGGGACTGCTCGATAGTCCGGATTCAGGACTCCCTCCAAGCCCCAGTCCGCCCTTCTACTCTCTGTCGCCAGGGATCCTTGAGTCGCGCACCGGCAGCTGTTCAACCCCGACTGAGCTGCAGGGATACAGCAGAAAGGAGAGCCGGGAAGGCAAACTGGTATGCATTCATATAATGAAGCCTCAGAGCTTAAAGGGATAGTTCACCCAAATATGAAAATTCTGTCATCATTTTCTTACCCTCAAGTTGTTCCAAACCTGTATGAATTTCGTCTGCTGAACGCAAAAGAAGATATTTTGAAGAATATGGGTAACCAAACAGGGTGAGTAAATGATGACAGAATTTTCATTTTTGGGTGAACTATCCCTTTAAAGGAGACCCAACATCCTTTGTTGGCAGTGGAACAATTTCCCTATCAACCAATCAGTGCACTGATTTTAGGGGTAGGGTTAGGGTATTTGTTGTCCAGGAAAAACATGTTGATGAAGGAACATGCCCTACTTAGGTCAGTCAAATTGTGCAGTATTCAGACACGTGCATGAGGACTGTAGAGTGGATGCCAGTTTCAAACAGACAGGTCAGATCTAAAAGGGGGTAAAATAATGAAATGGATAAACACATAAGGGCTTTTTTCACACTAGAAAAAGTTAACCCTGGGTCAATCTAAACCAGGCACCAGAGGGTGGACATCCCTTTGCCCCCCTCCGGACTGAGCCAAACTCCACCTGCAGTCAACCCCACCCCGAACACGATTTCATTTCTGTCGCTGTCCCCCATGAGAAATATTAATGCCCCCCCAAGTCGTGTGTCCTGCCGCCGGGCCTGCTCTAAACCCCGGGTAAGCAGAATCCTGGGTTATCTTGGTTCACGTTTCACACTGCTCATACTTTACCCAGGGTTAACAATTAATCTTGGCTATTCCTACATTTCGCTCTATACATATTTGTGGTGTCAGTGTCACTGATTGGACGAATGCAAAAGCTATAACATTGTGTATCCTTGTATTATATTTTGCCTTTTTTTAATACTTTCGGTTTTCCATCAAACGCTGAAACGACTGCTTATACAACCCACTGTTGATGCGTCCAAAAACGAATACTTCCCTACTAAATAGCATGTAAAAAACAGTATGCCAAAAGAGTAGAATGTCAAAATACATAGTATTCGAAAAACAGTAGGCCAAAAGTCCCCGGATGACCTACTACTTCCGGCGAGATTCTGAAGTGTATTCGATGGACACTTTACTATCCCATGAGGCCACAGGAGAGGATTTATGAATGGAGGTGAAGCGACGTAACTGACGCTGGTAGGTCACATGATAATGACAACATGGCGGATGTAGTACTTCAAGATTCCATTCATACTACACACACTCATATTATATAGAACATACTTTTTTAACGATCGTGAAGTTCAGGACGCGATTTCGGACGCACCGTGTGTTTCCGTGACTGTCCAAAGCACGTGAATATGTGGCACGTGATCGGCTGGCTGTTGCTGAGTCTAGTTTTAACATTCTAACACCACATCATTTCACACTGCACAAGTTTGGCACAGCAAAAGCTGTCTTAACCCTGCTTCTAAAGTGTGAAATGTTCCATAACCCGTGGTTAAAAGTGAGGTTTAGAATGACAATAACCCAGGGTTAAGCACAGTGTGAAAAGCCCTATAATCGACCATGTTTCTGCTGCAAGAACTTTTCATTGACTACGTTCAATTTCACACCACAGCAGAATATGGTTGAGTGCATTGTTCAGTATAGTTCACACACACATACACACTTCTGTTATAATCGTGACTTCTGCATTTTATAAGTGAACTGACATTATAGTCATTTTTACCTTTATAGATTTCATGTGTGGTTCTGGAGATTTGAGGTTTTAGATCCAGTTACTGCACTTCCATCAGTTTTCTGCTTTGACGGATAAACTTGCACCTCAAACGCACTCATTTATTTAAATTGCGATGTTACAGAAGTAGCGGCAGATACCAAGTGAAACAGATTATCAAAAAAGAGAAAATGACATGGTTCTATGCATCAGTTGTTGATTGGATGGCAGCAGATCAGAAATTCAAGCTTGAGTTTGATTGTAAGAAAGCGACAGTGTTCAAGTGGGCTAAACAATTGAAGAAGTGGCATACGTAACCAGAGAAGTCTGTAATTTTCCTGGAAGATCCAGTTATGAGATTTGAATAAAAAATTACAAGGTTAAAAAACAACAACATATGCATGGATGAATCATTCACAATAAGAAAATAGATAGGGTGAATTTTAATTGCATGCCAACTTTAAATAGTCATATCGGTTGTGGCAGGACTTTCTGTTGTTATGGGAGTTGCCATTTTTTATATTTGCCAAAGTCATTGTCACTATGGATACAGATTATATTTACAAATTGTAAAGGGGTTTAACTTCAGTTACTCATTCGTGCTGACAATATTCAAGCTGATTCTGTATACAGGACAATACGAAAGTCACATGTGAGCAACCATTCAATCCAAAACAACATGTTAGAATATAGAAGCATATATATGCAGTTTGTCATAAACACAAACAGATGCTGTTGACAATGTGGAGGCCAGGAACAAATAATGAGAAGTGATAGAGAAGAATCCTGAAATAGAAAGGGGTTCAGGTGCTCATGCCTCTGGAGACACACTCTAATGAAGAGAGGATGACAAGGAGAGAGAGAGAGAGTTTCTGTAAACAAGTTGACCTTGTGTTTTGTGAATATGGTAACTGTAACTGATCTCTATCTGTCCCTCCTTCCTCATAGCAACCCTTTTACACAGCATGTGCTAACAAACAAGCAATGCCGACACACACACACACACACACACACACACACATATATATATCATACTGGTACAGTATTACTCGACAGCGCATATTCACGTTACAGTATACCGCTGCACAAGTGCCTCGGCATAACCCAGAGTCTTATTTCTGCCTCTGAAAGGTTAAACTAACAGTGTCCACATTTGACACGGCCATCCATTCAAATGTAAGTGCCCTTTCATACTGAACTAAGGCTACTTTACCCTAATGAAAACCTCCTAGTGTCTAAGTATTTCAGAGTAACCACACAACTAGAAGATTAAGATTAGCGTAGAAAAAAAACCTCTTCCAACATTTCATAGTGGATGCGTCTTCTAGGGCAGGAAATGAAGCTTTCCCTGAGGAAACACAGCTCACAAGCCAACTGTGTGTTGAAGCACTAACAAAACAACAACTTTTATTAAACAGATACCAGCACGAGAGGCCTGAACTGATGCCTGTTAATGCGATTGAGCTGCATTTGTCTGCATAAATGCTTTGCCCGAGCACGCCGCTAAGAGCAAAAGGCATTTTGGAAAGTATAAATGATCACTGACACTCCTCTTTGAGAAACGTGCTTGCACTTGTTGGAAGACCGCTCCAATACAGCGTCTCGCTCAGTAAAATAGAAAGGAGCAGCATAACTTTTTTTTTACACTTTGGAAAGCTCTCATGCCAGCGTCAACAAAACATCCCTCTGTGGAAGTTCTTTTGAATATGCCGTTTCCAAAATCCTATTACTTAAATCATAATGTATACAAATGTGGTCAAGCCTGCAGGCAACATGCATTATATGAAGACCAAATGCTCTCGCAGAGTAGAAAAGAAAACGGAGGCATACAAAGCATTCATTGTTTGCCACACTTTGCATTTTCCATTCATTGCAACCTTGCTTTGTGGCGGTGTCTATCCCAGCATGAATATACAGTATGCTATATGCAGTACGCATGCTTGCATCTCGTTTTGTGGCTGTGGGTCTATTTTAAGAGTTGTGTTTGTATGACGTAAAAAAAAAATCTCTCTAATCTATTTTAGTGTGGCGGGCCTAACAGCGGAGTTGTTGCAGTCAGTTACATAAGAAACTGATGACCTCTGTTTGCTGAAAGTGAAGGGTGCATTGGCACCTCTGAAACAGTCTCATGCTTTATTAGAGCACAGTACGGATGCGTGATATATGAGTAACACATCCGCTGAAATTAGAGTTTTTTTTTTCAGTGATTGATACCAATCAATATTGGATATTTAAGTGTGCATGGTAATTTCCTCTATTTTTACATTTAAATTACCCTTGCCATCATCTAACACTCACTGAAAGTTATCAATTTAATAACAATACTAATAATTTAATAACACTGTTAAATGTAATCTTTAGCAAACCTCAAAATTATCATTTTTTATACTGTACATTATAATGTTTTGATATCTAAATCCACTTGTAGCAGCTGAAATGTCAGAGTTTAGCTTAAATTGCTTTAATTTAATTAGACAAAATAGTACATCATTTTAACATTGGCCATTTAATGGTTATCTGTTTTATTCATAGAGAGTTACTATCTCAACTACTTATATTACAATCAATAAGATGAATACAGTTAATGTAGCACTTTCAGTCAGCACTACAAAAGTATAATACAACAATATACTTATACAGGTCAATATACATCAGGAGCATAGTCCAGGGTGAAGGTATAGATCAGTGAAACAAACAGAGCCATGGCAAAGACAAGCAGTAGAACCGAAACACTTAACACTAAAAACACACGACACCAAAAGATCAATCAGTCAGCTCCAGTGTGAAGTGGCAGCAGTGAATGCAAACATTCAATCCGTTCATGCCACTTTATGCCAGGATAGAGTTCAGAACAACAGGGATGAGTGCCCCTCAAACTGCAGGAGAGTGATGTTTACTGATACAAGTGAAGCTTTGACTAGTTATTATGGTCCTGTTTATCCCTGCTGGTAGAAGCTGTAAGTGCAGTATCTGTGGGGGAAAAAGGCATATTTTCTCCACGTTGCCATTTTTTTGCATGCAACCTGTCAATTACAATTGTTTTTTATTATATTATATTAGTTATTTTGCCAGGGTCTGTTTTTGGAGGGCTCTGTACAGCATCAAATTGACTTTTTTGCATTTGACGTTACAGTTATAGTTCTTTATAGGGCTTGTATACCTGATATAATATAGAAGGTATGATACCTGGGTTTCTACATGTGTTCTAGACGTCCTTGGATAAATTGTCAGACCACCTGACACAATCAGTCTAAATAGCGATGCCACTAATGACAAACTCTCTTCAGCCTTCAAGCTTTGATTGAGAAGTGATCTGATACTGTACGGTTGATCCGCCACCAGACCTTTAACTGCTCTGTCCCTGCCGAGATCTGTCTCTCATGTGACTGTGTGTGGGGTGGCGGCACATTGTGTAACACCACAGTGGACACCGTATCCGTCCTGGATTTAACACACGTTCTCTCTTGTACTCATATGGACACAGACGCACATGCTCTTTCACTGGCCTGCATCCACGAGACAACAGCATGATGCCAGAAACCTCTCATAAACAGCATGTTAGAAAAAGGATTGTTTTTAATTTTAGTGCTCATTATGTGTTCACTTTATTGGCTTAAACTGACCAGACCACCCGCTGTCAAATTTAAAAATATACTTAAAAATGCAATGGATCACAGTATCATAAATGGATTGCGACTGAATGAGACCAAGAACCCAGGAGCACGCTTCACTTTTTTCCGGTATGGCATTGCGTGTCTCTGGCCTCAGAATAAAGCGCAGTTTCCATCCCAAGAGAAGAAAATTGTCACTTCATGGGAAATTGGCACAGAATATCTGTAATAAAAATGAAGTTGCTGCAATCGGGCAAGCCACTGTGACTCTTTTTCCCTACATCATAAATGACTTGTGTCTCAGAGCGTGCGGGCGAAACGCAATAAAGGCTGTCATGTTATTGTGTGTTCGGATGCCTGGTGTTTGGGAACACAATCATGAGAGACACTTCTGAGAGGGAATTAAAACAAGCTTTGGCTCAGGCAGTCAGAATGATTAAACCAACATTTGAGATGTTGTGCAAAGAAATTGGTCCGCTAGTCCAGTCATCCAATCACATCCACTGTTGAGTTTTTTTTGTTGCTCATCGAGGGATTTATTCAGTAAACGTGTTTCCATCGTAGTTTATGCACGTCTGATAAAAAATGTATCCACCTCAATTGAGCGCATACATTTTTTTATGCACATTTTAAGAATTTATGCGCATTTTGTCGTTTCCATCCAGCGTTTTTTATGCGATATCCCAAAATGTGCATAAAAATAGGTGGATGGATACTTATCTATTGAGAAATGCCCATTTTGTTAAACTGTGAATGTGCACGTCTTCAACTGATTGATGCAATATTATTAGAGAAAGAATATATATGATTGCATCTTCACAGCGCTAGATTATTTTGCTTTGATACCCTCTCATGTGGACCATCACAATTCTTTTTGAAACTGGTTCTTCACTAGTTCTTCAGTCAGTCAGAACTAAATTTCTAAAATGAACTAAAGCAAAAACACTATAAAGTGTCACACTATAAACGTGTCCTTGATTTTTTTGGATGTGCAAGTTAAAAAATGATCGACTTGAGCTCAGGAAGAGCCCATGCTTCCCATGTCACGTCAGATGATAGTTCGGTTGATGATACGCTGCTGAGGAATTCGGTTTTATGAGGTGTCAGAGACAGAGAGTGAGGAGAGCTTGTACGTGGTGGACGCCGAGGAAGGTGCTGAGCGTGCACATGGTGTGTGTGTGTGTGTGTGTGTTGATGGCTGGAGCAGGTGGAGGCACAGACCACTGCGGCTCCACACACTGTCTCTGTTTGTCTGACCACCACACATATATATATATATATATATCAGTACGCAGACAGAGCAACACAAACTAAAACAATTCAAAACATTTTCATTACCTGAAATCAAATATAATTATTAGTTCAAAAAACTTGAAGTAGGCCTACTAAAATGACTAAAACCTACAGAAATATTACAAAAAAATAGAAACTAATTAAAATGTCAAAAACACAACAAAATGACTTAAACTAAGAAAACCTGCAAATATACCTTAGAAATTAATTTAAAGTTTTAACAATACTATAATAGTATATTAAAAATACTAAAATAGCAGAGCTTCAAAACTTACCAGACATAAAATAATGATTTAATTTTCAATATAAACTAAACTTGGTTTATGTCAGGTTTATGTTCTGTTTTGTCATGTTTATATCCTGTTCTTTGGACACTCATTTTGATATTCTGTTTTGTTTCCTTTAGTTCCTTTCCTCTGCTCTGTTTAGTTTCAGTTTACTTGGTTAGTTTGTTTCTATAGTAACATATTGCTTAGTTGCACCTGTGTCTAGTTTTTTGTTTCCTTTATTTTAATCTTATATATTTAGCCCTGTGCTTTCAGATGTGTTTGTCGGTTCTTGTCTTTTGGTTATAGTGTCTCTGATTTGTTATTCTCCTACGAATCTCCTGAGTATTCTCCTTGTTCATTAAAGTCTATTTGTGTTTACTACCGGAGGCATGCGTGTTGGAAAGCCACACTACAGATCCAAACTATCCTCACCAAACTGTACTGACTGCTCAAACCGCTGATATTCAAACAAACAACAAAACAACATTGTTGCACAGTTGATATTTCTGACATGTTGTTTTGCTAAATGCTAAACAGTGTTCTGATTCAGAAGACAAACCATGGCTGCGTCCGAAATCACATACTCTTTTGAGCTATACTTATTTTGAATAAGTAATTACTTCACGAGCACCACTGCTAAAAAAGTATGTTATACTGTATGTTATGAGTGTGTATAGTATGTAATTCGGACATACAGTACTACATTCGCCATATTGTCATTATCATGTGACCTAGCACTGCCATTCACAAATCCTCTCCCTGGCCTCATGGGATAGTAAAGTGTCCATCATATGCACTTCAGAATCTCACCAGTAGAAGTAGGTCATCCGGGTACTTTTTTCCTACTCTTTAATGAGTACTGTGAATTCAGACATACTTCTTTAGTCACATACTGTTTTTCGCCTACTATATAGTAGGGAAGTGTGCGATTTCAGATGAAGCCTATTTGATAGTACAGTGTTTATTTTGTGATGATAATGGATACTTAAAAATAAATACATGCAAATAAATTGATTTGAGATTACAATTATGCAGTAATGATATGATACACATGAAACTACAGATATTCAAGAAATCAGTTGCCATGGCCAACGGTCAATTATACAGTTTAGCTGTCATCATACATTACATGCTGAAATTGATCAATCAAATTCAAGCATTTCAATGTAAAATGCGCAAATATTTAGCCAGGATTTAACATCTATTATTATGGGTTGTAATGGGGGGTAGCTACATGGCTAATTTCTTTTTTTCTTCTGTGTAGCTGCCATACTTGCTCCTGAACTCTCAAGGTCCAGATGCGAGGTCACGCATGTACCCTGTGGTCTATGGAGAGAGCATTGAGGTCAACCCCAAACCAGAAAAAGAAATCAAGTGAGTAATGTTAAATCACCATTACCTACTAGTGTTTTAGAAATGTGTTGTTGTTTTTTTGGGTGTGTGGTTCCAAACTTCAGTTTCTAGTTTTTCTCAGCTTCAATAGAAGAACATCTGAGCAATTGTACAGTCACATGATCAACATCACACATTTTCTTACTAGTGACCTAGAAATAGTGCAAAATCTTGAAATTTCTTTACTCCATAATTTTCACGCTGGTCTCAGACTTTGAGCGATTAGTGGAGAAATGTTTGACAGCTGGATTGATGTCTGCTGATCCTCGCCAGGTTCAACTCTGCAGTGAAGTACGCTTCAGACAGACACTTTCGTGACCAGGTGTACTGCGCCCAGGTCCAGACCGCCACATCCTTCAGCGAGACGGTGGTGGCCGTCCAGAACTGCACGTGGCGCAGCTACAAATCAGAGGTTCACTTCCAGCCCCGGCACAGGCCGCTACACTTCCAAAGCACGGCCATCGTGTTCCCCAAGCACGCCCGCAACACATACCGCACCACGCTCAACTACAACAGCAGCAGAAACACAGCCGGGCGACGGTGGTTTGTGTCCACAGTCAGGCTCGAGTCCACCGAGGACGCCAGTCCATGCATCATTTACACAGAAGACCTCTGAGAGACACATGAGAGGTTTGTTATCGTTCCCAACATGTCAAAAAACAAAAAAACTCCCTAGAGAGTGAGAGGACGTGGACTCGGTTACTAAAACCCTGATTCAAAACGAATGGCAAGAGACTTTAAAGAAAGGAAACGAAAAGTCAGTGAGGGCCATTTTGTTGTTTTGCTTCCGGTGACATTGGTACTTGATAGTGGGGATGTGTGTGTGTGTGTGTGTGCATTCTTTACATGGGTCGCATGTCAGTGATGTATTTATGTACATCTTTTTTAACTGATTCATATCCGATTGTACCCGTCAGGTGGAGGGAAAGCATTTGGGTCAAAACGGTTTCTCTCGTTTGCTGATTCATTGGCTCCCATGGAATCCGTGCCCGCAGAATTCCAATGAAAGATCGGCAGATTTACACGGAACGCAAAAGAATGTTATTTAAAAATCAAATCGAAATCTCTTTTATTTGTCAATGTGTGTCTGGTACTAGAATTTCGCTTGGTTCCATTTTAGTGCCTCACATGGTGTTTTTGCATAGTAACATTTTTATATATTTTTTTGATAAGGTTTTATGCTACACTCATAAAAGAAAAGGTTCTATATACAATCTTAATGGGTTCTATCAGGCGCCTCATATATAGAACCTTTTGATGAGATCATTTTATGCAAGTTTTAATTTAATCCTTTTGTTTTCATTTTCATTACATTTTCTGAACTAAATAAACACAAAATTTCTCCTTATAGGCATATAATACCTTTTTGCCATAAAGTGTTCTTTAAAATTGAGTCAAGAACCTTAGGGTTCTATATAGAACCTTATTGAATTATTAATAAAACTGTAGGACTTTCATCTATTGGATCATTTTAATAATTACTTAAAATGATGAGGATATTCCCTCCCAAAAAAATGTAAAGAACATGAAGAGTCCGTGTGGGCCGACTTTATCGTCTTACTCAATATGGCTGATTCTTACAAATGCTCAAACAGGAAACAGTTCACAACACATGTAAATACTATTAAAACAAAATGCAAAGACTATAAGCACATTATATGTGGATGAGAGAGTCAGCACTGACTATCAGAGAACTGGCGGAGAAAATAGAAACTGTATTTAAGTTGCACTTATGGAAAGTTGTTTTTTCTTTTTCTTTTCTTTTCTGTTGGCTGTAAATGTGTTGGTATGACTAAGGGAGGAGCACTTGAAAGGTTGGACCAAAGATTCTGTAAGATTCAGTTTTAGTACCTCAAAAAAACGTGGAATCATTTCTTGCACAAACGTTTAAGAAGCCGGCCGACATGCTGATAATTCAGTGGCCAAAAAAGAGCTGCACTCAGAAAGACAGGAAACAGAAGAGCGTGTGAGGAACGTTGTATTGAAATAACTGGACTGGGCATGTGTTATATGAGAGAGTTCAGCATGTTTTGATTTGAAAGGCCAAATGTTGTATTTGTGAGACAGGTTTTATCTGTGAAAGTGTGAATAGAGACAAAGTTCAGTGACCTCCTGACATAATCATGGTCTGAAGACTGTGCGGTTTCTGGCTTTCAGATTGTACGGTTGGATAACTTTGGTTTCAAAGGTATTGAGTTTTTTCTGACATTGTTGGTGCCTGTTAGTCTCAGCCAAAATCTAGATTACCCAAGTGAGCTCCTGTCACCTGCATTTCATGTGGAGCAAAGGAAACATTCAGCTGTTGTTGTTCTTTTGGGAGGATATGAGATATATAACAGCAATATATTGAGAGCGAGGGAGCATTATGAAGGTGTAAGTACTTTATGTCCGTCTTATGTTTGGACTATCCAGTTTTAGTTCTGTACAAGCTCAAATGGATGTTGAAAGTTTTACATTTCTTGTCTCATTACATTTTTGGCGGGATCCTCTTGGGACTGAAAATGCGTTTTTTGTTGTTGTTGTTTTTTAAACAATGACTAAGTATGTTTTCGTCTGTAATGGTATGTGGATGTGTTTTGAGAGGAAATGCTTGACAGTTCAAACCAAAAGAACCAAAGTTTAGTTCAACTAAGTGTAATACAGTAAAATAGTAGGCTAATAACCAGTCACTTCCTGTGTGTTAAGATGGTTCACCCAAGATGGACATTTGATAACTTGATAATAGAGGAATTTTAACAATGTGTTAAAAGCAGATCTGATGGGGGACGTTTTCTATTTTCATGTGTATGAATTTTTTTTTAAGAATACATTTGTTTGGTGTTCAAATGCTCTCTGCTAAAGGATGGATTTTCTTTGGATTTGCTAACACAATGATTCGTGTGTCTGGTAAATATATTTTCCTGTTGTATATGTGGCGTACAGCACTCGTAATTCTCTTTATATTTTTGTATAAATTCCCAAGTTAATGGTCTTCTTTTGGACAACAGATGAGAAAATATTTTAATGAAAAAAAGAAAAAAAATGTATATCCAAACTGAAAAAATAAAAGACCCAAACCCTACAACGGCTGTGTGTCTGTCTTCTTTTTGATGCCGTGATAAACTGTATGCAAGAATGAGCCTCTGTTTTCCATGTACATTATCACTAACACAGCAGTTTCCAACAAGGTCAAATACTTTCCAGCTTAAGATGAAAAACCCTTCCATGATTCTTCCATAAAACTGCCAGCCGTGAGAGAGGCATCGAGTCTCTTTGGAGCATATCATTGTAATCCATACATTCAAATTTGCTTTAGGCTAGATTACATTTACATTAAAGCAACCATAAAGTACATTATTATAAGGTAAGTACATGATACAGCTACATACCTCACACTGAACACATTTACAGTAAATGCAAGAATATGATTTTTTTTTTTTTTTTTTTACATAGGCACAAAAGCTGTAGTGATATATTTTATAAGTGTTTAACATACGATTATGTGGCCTACTTTATTTCCCTGATAATCCTGACATTTTCCTGACATAACCATAGCTGTCAACCCTCCCGTTTTTTCCGGGTTTCTCACGTATTTTAGCTCTTTTCCCGCTGTCTTCCCGTTTTATTATTTTCCCGTAAAATATCCCGTATTTTTACGCTCTGATTGTGTGGGACGTACATGCTCGGGCAGATTCGGCTTGAAGTCGTTCATCCTCGGATGCGGCGCCGCGCGCGCTGTTACAAAAAAAGCTGTGCACACAGCCAAGCGAAATGGGGTCTTGCCGGTCTTGCGCACCCAACGCGTAATCTTTGCCGCGCTCGTGCGGACGCGTCAAGTATAAACAATTATACTCCGTGTCAGCGCGCGCTTTGATCGGTAAAGGAGCACAGACCTCTCCCTAATCATCTCCAGCAGCCCCCGAAGCACCACGTACCGTTTCCCTCGTAAGCTGATATTAGTATTTAAACATTCTCTGATAAAAAATGTTTAAAAAATGACACACTTTCTCTAATACACACACACACTGTCTCTTTCTCTCTCACTCATTTGTAGTTATAAACTCTTTAGACTTTTAATGATTAGTGCTTTATTTTTAAAGTTTGTGGTGGGCAAGAATCGTGTAAAAAAATTCCCTTATTTTGGGGATGGATTCCGGGAAATCTCCCTTATATTCAATGTTCAATGTTGACAGCTATGCATAACTGATTATAATTTTTTTTTTTTTTTTTTGCATTTGGATATCCAATTCTTTGAATTTGCTTTACATGATAGAGACTGCTCTTGAAATAAGTGTTTCCATTTAAATGTATTACCCATTTTATTATTGCTTTTAAGCATAAAATGGTTCATGTTTTTACTGTTCTGTGAACAGTAAGTTACATAAAACCTACCTAGTAGGCTGCTAAAACAGACATTTCCCATTAATGCCGAGAAGAACAGTCAACCAATCAAAATGTGATGTGTTTACAAGGCTTACAGCTGATATATTTCCCTTCCGATGCAGTATAACATATGCATTTGTTGTTTACTGGACCATATTATATTACTTTCTTTTCACTGAGCTTCATCATAATGCAAGAAAACTTTAAACACAATTAAAGAAATATGAGGCTTCACAGTGTGCCCAGGGATGTGACTGTCCTACAACTGAGGAATGTTGACAATAATTCCTCTTTAGCTGCTTTTCATTCTTTCAGCAGCATAAAACTGTACTTGTCTATTAAATGTCCTTTGTCATAAATTAAGAGCTGCAGCTGTAACCTGTGGTCATATGAAAGTGAGCAGCGCCCCCTCGTGGTCAACCCTGGTCTTGTTGGATACAAAATACGTGTGATTAGACGGGAAAGAAAACATGTTTGCCCTAAAGAGTATACTGGTGCTTCTGGTAGGTTAAACGTGGACAGAATTACACTACTTTTTGGCCAATGAATTTCCACGATATTTTCCTATGGATGGAATCATTTAAAAAAATAAAAATAAAAAATTACAGAATCAGACTCGAATCAGTATAGGCTATGCCAAGCACACATCCTTTGAATGAATATATCTACCTTATTTTTCGAGAGCCAATGGGTAATTGTGTTTATGATTACGATAGTTATTTAAAATATGATAAATATTCGTTTGCGGAATCAAGTAATTAAAATAACTAGAACTAGTAAAGTGTCCATCGTATGTAGGCTACACTTCAGAATCTCGTCGGAAGAAGCAGCCTACTCTTTTAGGAGTACTGTAAATTCGGACATAGTTCTTTTGTTATGTTTTTCGCCAACTATATAGTAGAAAAGTATGTCATTTCGGATGCAGCAGCCTATGATCAATGTGCATTGATCATATTGTGCATTGATGTGGATGCACATGCGCATTGGCTGGTCCAGCCTGAAAAACAAGCTTTTTTTAAACACTATTTTAACATAAGAAACCACATGTATGAGACAACTGTTGTCAGATTTAATTGGTGATTTTAAATATGAAATGTAATAGTAAGCTTGGTGAACAGCTGTGGAGAATTTTATGTTTCCCCATTCAAAGGTAGGAGCTGTGTTTGCATGACTGAAATAGCCAATAGCTGCACGAGAGGCGTTTCAAAGATGGCCGCGGATTGAAATGACACTTTGGTTAAAGCTTTCTTTTACTGTCTATGGGTTAAAGTCACCATGAAATCAAATTAGATTTTTTTATTGCAATTTAATAGTTTTTAATAAAATTACTAGTGCTGGGCCGTTATCGGCGTTAACGTGAGACTCTTATCGGGCGATAAAAAAAAATATCGCCGTTAATCAAAGTTGGGTTGGGATCATAAATAGCTTTTTCGAATATCGTTATATTTTCGCGCAATTCTAATGTGTAGTATGACGCCGCGCCTACTGTCACAGATCGCGCAGTAGGGTATTTTCCTGTCAGGGACACAAGGTGTACTTTTACTTTGTTACGTTGGGCGACGTTCCTCTCGTTACTTTATTTTAATGCAATACGTTGTTAAATGAGTTTATTCCACTGTCTATGGTTTATTCCAAGCGCGCTGTGTCCTTTGTATGGGCATGAGCGATGCTCATTTACAAATGAATCACTCTTTTGAGTCGATTCTGTTCAAAGACTTCATCAAACAAGTTGTCAGATGATCTGTCTAAATCGGTTCGCGAATCAGTTGATCTGTTCAGTTCCTCGCGCACTGAATCGTCTGAAGCGCTTTCAATTCACACTCGGAGTCGAAACAGGAAGATTTAAGAGCATCAGAGCGTTGGATGAAGTGGCCGATCTACAGTCTAGTCTAGTGAATGCAAATCTGCAAATGCATCATATT